ATTCTCCAGCTTCTGAAATCTCCGGTGAGTTTCCCCTAGGTCAACTCTAGGCTCATCGTTATAATTTTCGTCCGATTGAAATGATTTGTTAAATTTGATTGTCTTTATTGTGTGTCTCGTGGTCAAATTTGATTACTGGAACTTGTGTGTCAGTTTTGGTATTGAAAGTTGATTACTTTACAACCAGATTGGAGTTTAAGTGGTTAGTCTTCTGTTTTTGAGCTTGTAAAGGTGTTATCTTTGAGGGGAATGTTTCAGTTTCAGCTTTTTCCAAGTAATTGTGTAATTTTGAGCGTTTTGGTATGAAGCTGAATGGCTTCTGAGCTTTTGGACTGTCTAAAAGTTGGGAATATTGATGAATGGTAGGGGAATGCAGATAACGTTGTTTTGGTGGAAGGGAGCACTCTCTCAAGGGATTGTCATCGTTGGTTCTAAAGCAAGAGCCAGGGATAAGCCTTGGGATCATCTCTAATCTTCCGTTTTTTTTGTATTACTTTAAGAGAAAGCAATCATGGCTAGGATTTTGGTTCAAAGAGGAAGTTCTTCCAACGCAAGCCGCTCTACTTCTTCCTCGTCTGCTTCATCTTCTTCCTCAGGAGCTGAGCAAAGCAGTAATGTTCCAGCTACTATTGATGAAGAAACTATGGATGGAAAGCAAGAAGAGGTTCCTGTTGTTGAACAAGCAGAGTGTTCTTCTGATGCTAATGTTGTTGAACCTGTGGATAGAGAAGATGAAGAAGGTTTGAGTGTTTCGGAAAATGTTGTTGTTGTTGAAAGTGAAGGTGTAGACTGTGATTCTTCAGTTAGTGGTGGTGGACATGACCTTGATTCACCGGCCTTACCTGTTCCTCCACCAAGGTCTTCTTCGAATGTTGCCGCTGATAATAGGAGATCTGTCTTGGGAAATTTTGGTGCTTTACGAATTGGAGCAGCAACACAAAGAGGAGCTGGGCCTCGGTCTCTTAGGAGTTCACCAACTGGATCACATCCTTCTTCTCCACGATCACATTGTGAGAACGAAGGCTATAACAGTTCTGATGAGCATATGCCACGCTTTGTACCCTCTCAAGCAACATCTGGCTCTGGCTTGGTAAGTTTTATTTTCAGAGAATTTTTTTGGACTCTATGGAATTTTATATGGCTTTATTTTCAATGACTCTATTGCACAGGAAAGAGAACATCAGTTTGAAACCGAGATTAGACAATCTAAAGGCTTTGAAATCAGGCGTATGCTGGCAGATGGAAACTGTCTCTTCCGGGCTGTTGCAGATCAAGTATATGGAGACTCAGAGTCATACGACATGACTAGACAAATGTGCATGGATTACATGGTAACTTTTCTATTGTTTATCGAGCTACGGGGTTTTCACTTTAGCTTTCATTAGATGAGCCAAAAACTGAGTTGCATTTGAGAATAGCACGTTGGAAAGATATATTGAGCCAACAATAAATGAACCTAAACTGTACCTTAATACCGTACATATAGGCTATCAAGAAAGGAACAACTGTTGAAGCATTTCACGTAAAGAAAGCATTAGTTTTTAAGTAAACTTGAATGAAACTTAAGTAAGAGAGTAAGTTACGAGTAACCGCATTGCATAAAATGTGAGATTTATACCAGGACACTCCATTAGATTGACAATCTGATTTGCTTTTGAGAACGGTATGTGGGAAAGGTATCTTGAACCAACTATATATGACTATGCGGTGTGGTCTTAGACAGCATTAGTCTTAGTTCAAGTGGAAGGAAACAAAATTAAGATGTATGTGTAGTAATACTCCTTTTGAAACTATGATGTACCTTTGTTTTAACCGAACACAGAAGTAGTGTTTTAGTTTTGATGGTAACAACTGGGCAGAACTTACTCACGATGGATGGTTTAGGAACACGAGAGGGATCACTTTTCTCAGTTCATAACTGAAGGCTTTACCTCTTACATGAAGAGGAAAAGAAGAAACAAGGTGCTTTTCTCTTAGCCTTGCTTTCGCTTTGTTAAATTTTGTGTCACCAATTTGTTTGACCCCTTTTACATAATGGTAACAGGTGTATGGAAACAACGTGGAGATCCAAGCTTTAGCAGAAATGTATAATAGGCCTATCCATATTTATTCATATAGCACAGGTGCAACTTAGAGTGACATTGAAAACAAAAGTTGTTCATGTTCTTTACTGTAACAAGAAATTAATGAAAATGTAATCTTTTGGTTCCTATAGAGCCTATCAACATATTTCAAGGGAGCTACAACACCGATACACCTCCGATAAGGCTGAGCTACCACCATGGGAACCATTACAATTCTTTGGTGGATCCACTTCGGTTGACAGTTGGTGCAGGACTTGGATTTGGTAGCCTGAGTGGGGTTAGTTTAGTTTCCTCTCTTGTTTGTACAACTGATGCAAAAAGAGGTAGCTGCATATCTTTGTTTTTCCTCATCAGATTTTCTTGTTTTGAATCCAGAGACACGTGGATAGAGAGCAGGTGAAAGCTGCTATTAAGGCACAGCAAGAACATCAGATTGATAATGCAAGTCAACCATATTATAAACAAGTCACTAATCTGTCTTGAGTGTATGGCTACTTATACGTATTTGTCTATGTTACAGGCGCTCTTAGCAGAAGGGAGATATTACTCTGATCTTGAGCTTACAGAAAAGGAGATTGAACGGTCGGTGATGGAAGCTTCCCGTGCTGAGTATCTTATGGAATGGTCAAAGCCACGAATTGGTCCCAGTTCTAATGCTGAGACGTCCTCTTCTGGAGCTAGTGAGTATTGTTTCTTTTGAATCCTCTCACTTGAGAAGAAGCATATTGAGACAAAATGAAAATTTCTTAAAGCAGGAACTTCAGGCAGTGATTGGAAACCAAAGGAGGGAGTAAAAGAGAAGACGGTGCTGAGCAGCAGCATTGAGATGGTTTTGTCGATGGGATTTAGCTATACGCAGGCCATGGAAGCTTATAGCATTTTCGGGGATGACGTTGACTCTATTGTCTGCTATGTACTGGAGACGAGCTGTGGCAGCAACAACCGACGCAAAGGCAAAGCCATGGAGTAGATAATTGTAACATGAGTTGTTCTGTTATATAGTTTGAAACACCGATTGGTATTCTTATCAACGTTTGGGCGATTATTACCCATATCAAAATAATGAATTAACTTCTGCATTATGACATGTTAGTTTGGGAATTTTAACCCAGTTTGCTCAAAAATATCCGATTCGAAACACCAAACCAAAAAGAATCAAAACCGAAAAGAATTGATCCGAAAAATCTGATCTGAATAGATTTTATCCAAGAAAACCCGATTTATACCTTATCTAAAACCTGAATTTTAAAGACTTCTATGTATTTTATTTTCAATATTAGCCACGTGAGGAAGACCAGCACCAAACGGACTGTGACATGGATCTTATTTGTTCGGCTTCTTCCTGCAACAGTTACCATGGTTTCAACTTTTGTTATGGTTGCAGCCGTTTCAGTTTGAGCAACGTTGATTGGAGTATGATTATTAGTGATGCTGGTGTTATCATTAGACATATGTTTGACAACAAGTAAATCAGATTAAATACATCAACAAATAATAACAAATTATTTGACGGAGACAAAAACAGAGAGGAAATCGAGACCACGAAATGGTGTAACAGAAAAACAGAATTTACCAATCATCCACAACATATATATTCAGTAAATAATTTAAGAGTTAAATTTTATAGTCAGGTGGATATTGTTTCATTTAACTATGATAAAAAATACCTTACTACACTTTATCATGTGGCCACACGGATATGAATATCGCTTAGAGTCCATCTGAATATCTGAAGAAAAGATCCATCTTGAATTGCATCTTTTTTGAGAATTAATTTAGACATTCCTATAGATTCAGAATACCCCAGATTGATTAAAAAAAATCTAATAGTTGTTGTCTTGTCTTAGTCATTAGCTTTTCTCATGTTCAAAAAATTAAGAGCGATTAAACATAACTCTATCACAACGGTACAAATGCACATCTTTAATATATATAAACTCAAACTGAATATAAAATCTCCTTAAACTAATTTTCGATTAATCTCCATATAATTTCTGGTTAATTAATTCGATTATAGGTCCTATCCGATTGCACGCATAGCATAACGAATTTCCAAACATGGGTTTTTCTGTATACAAGTGGATGATTGTTTTTAAAAAAGATTTCTTGTAGACCGTATTAATGAAATCTGCATAAGTGCACTTACGTCTAACCTTTAAATATTACATTTGGTTCGATCTGTAGTCCAACGTCAATTATAACTACAAACAATAAGGCCTACCTTATCCTAATCATGAGACTATGATCCTTCTTTTAATCATTCTTCTGATATGATTATTTTCATGTCTCAAGACCAAACAAAACAAAATAATCTGTCGTTTATGGAGGGAGATATCTTCAATGTCGATGACACATTGAAAAGTTGGTAGTCTTTAGGTTTGATTGAAAAACACATGATTAAAGGCATTTATGGATAATGTATTTTTGAATTGTTTTGTGTTATCTTTTAAGTATTAACTTGATTCTACAATTTCAAACCGGGAGAATATTTTACCAACTTTTAATTTAATTACAATAAAAGTACATATTTTAATTTTTGTTTATATTTAGACTGATTTGGTTTTTAGTTTTTTTTTTTTATAATAAACACATCTAGTTTGTCTGAACCACAATTGATAAATTTTAAAAACATAATATACTCATTTTCGGATTTTTTATAACTTATTGTATTACTCAGTTGTTAGAAGTTAATTAAACAATTATCAAATGATAGTAACTTGTTACCTCTTATTTTTAAAAGTAAATTAAAATAAATCGTTTAACCTAAATTGTGACCACACAAAAAGATGTCCAAAATTTATAACTTTAATATGCGTTGACAAATTTATTTTTGTAGAATATATATATATATGTGTGTGTGTGTGTGTGTGTGTGTGTGTGTGTTTTCTGTTCTTTTATTGTAAAATTAAAAAAAAAAAATTGGTTGTAACTATAGTAGACATGAAATTATATATAAGAAAATTACTTATTTTTATGAAAACTTATTTTAGTTTAATTGATGGCAATCTTATAGTTATGAGCATGTAAATAGGCTAACCCGTTAATTTAATTTACTTTTATCATATCAAATTAAAAAATTTATTATGAAATACTTACTTTAATTTAATTATATAATCTATGAAAATATTTAGTGTATTAACTTATGTAATTATAGTTAACATTTATTTTAATAATATGTTAATATTAGTAGATTTTCATTTTTCATTTTTTCTTAAATTTAGTATAACAATAATTTATAAAATAGTGGGTAAAACATTTTATTTGATTTTTAGAAAAAAAAATTATAATTAAATTCAAAATGGATATCATGGAAAGTTTTGAAGTAATTAGTTAGGAATTGATTTGACAATATTACATATAAGTAATGTATAAGCCCAAAGTTTTAATGGTACAATGTATAATGTAATAATTTTTAATAAGATGGATTACTAACACAGAAAATACTAATCAACTCACTAATTACATTCAGAGAGTAAAGCTTTTCGCTTAGTCAATTGCTGAAAAAGTATGAATTTGTCTTATTTTACTAGAATACCTACCCCGTAACGACTATAAATTTACTAGTTTTACTATAATACCTACCCCGTAACTACTATAATTTAATTTGCCTTCTTCTATAACCACTACATTTTATTACATGACATTAGTACAACCACCATTAAGCATAGAACAAAACTAATGCACCCTAATACAGTCTTATTGTGAAAATGTTGTTCTGGGAAGAGCCACTAAGTAAGACAACCAGTTCTGACTGAGTGACTGGCCAGAAAAAAACGTTTTGTTCTAAAAAAAAAAGCTTTTAACCGACCACGAGAACAGAAAAATGTACTGGTTTCCAAGATCTGAGCAACACCAAAAAAGCTTGAAAAGTCAACTCAATACTAAAAGTAACGTGGAAAATATGAAATTCGTTGCAGAGATTACGTGATCTGTCTACTAAGATAAGTTTTGAAAAGATTTGTCATAAATAGAGCGTGTGTATACATTTATTTACATTTATTTCTCTAGAGAAACTAAGATAAAATTGGAAAAACCATGCACCTTGACTGAAAATAGAATAGTCTAAAAGAGCAACGGTTGACTGAACCATCGCCTTCTTTCATCATTCTCTTTATATCATTACTTCACTCATTATATATATATCTCTATGATTTCATAGTCATCTCGTTATTACATTCCTTTTCACACAAACAAAACAAAAACAAAAAAACAAATTTCTCCCTCTTCTAAATGGCTAGCAACGGTGATTCAATCTCAACCCTTCATCCAGACATCATCCAAACCCAAATCTTGACCCGACTCGACGGTCCAACGCTTACCTCCACCGCATCAACATCCTCTTATCTCCAATCTCTCTGCACAGAACAGAAGCTCTGGCAAGAACTCTCCACAGCTACGTGGCCTTCTATCAACGATCCACGTGTTGTTAAAGCCATCTCCTCCTTCCCTTCTGGTTACCGCTCCTTCTTCGCTGACTCCTACCCGTTCAGTGAATACACTTGGCCGTCGGAAAAAGACGATCCACCGACCACTGGATTAATCTCAGCCGTTGACTTGTATTACCAAGGAGACTTAATCTACTCAAGGGTTCAAGAGATGGAAACAGAGAGTGGTAAAGGTGGATGGTTTTTGTCGACTCCGTTTCGGGTCGATATGCTCGGCCCGAAGGAGTCGATAAAGACCCGGATTCGATATCCGGGTGGGGACTACGAAGCGTGGGTGAGAGATATGGAGGAAGATATGAAGCTTAACTGGATACTGATCGATCCGGTAAAGAAACGTGCGGCGAACATATCGAGCAGGGACGCAGTTTCGGCGAGCCGGAACTGGTTGACCGGAGATTTAGAGGTTAGATTTTCGACGGTGGTGATGGGGAAGAGTGTGGCGGAGGTGGCGACGGTTGTGTCGTGTGGATCGGCGGAGACGTGGAAAGAAGTGGACGAAGAAGTGGGAGGAGAAGTGGACGTGAGGGAGGTGAGGTTGCAAGTAGAGGACATAGAAGGAAAGTGTTTGAAAGGGAGGGAAAGTGTGGGGATATTACAAGGGTTGTTGGAAGGTAAGAGAAGTTGTAAAGATGGGTGTGGTGAAGAGAGAAGAGGTAAAGGAAGGTACGAGGGATACGTGGAGTTGAAGACACAGTGGAGAAAGGAAAAAAAGAGGAGAGAAAAAACTCAAGACACGATCTGTATGATTTTTGGGCTCTCTTTGTTTGTGCTTTTGTGGAGTTTTATTTTGTTAAGGTAAAAATGTTAAAAGGTGAAACACAAGAGTTATGGTAATACAATACACACACGTCTTTCGTTATCAATGTTGTTTTTTCTTTGTAATGAATGAAAATTCACTAATTTCTTTGGAAGGGATATGTCCAATTTGGAGACATTTACATGGCACACGTTCCATAAGTGATCAATGTTTTAAGACTGTGCTTACAACCGATAAATATTCCCTGATGTTAGAGTATTGTTAGGTAGATTGCGATATTAAAACTGGTTCGCCAACCCAGATGATCTAGAGAAGAGGATAAATATTCCGTATCTTGTTTAGCATCTATTAATGACAAACAAAGTTAAGTTTGCAATAAGGGAAGTAGAAAGGGATGGATACAAAGTAAATATTCGAGTTTTTTTGCGATATTCATGATCCAATCCGTTTCTTTCGAATAATCAATTATTCGATTTGATTCGTTCTGTAGCTACCATTAGGTTTCTTGGTTATTCAGAAAATCTTAGATTTTTAGCCAGATTACGATTGATCTGAACAATAAAATATATTTTTAAAATATATATTAGTCAAAAAATAATAAACACTAATATCTTATTACAAAAATTTTAATTTTATGTAATTTTTAAAGTTCTAATAACTAATATAAGAAATTTAATAAATAAAAATATTATAAAATTTATATATATAATTCCTTAAATATATATATGCATATAATGGTTCGGCTCGGATATCCACTTATACTAATATTAGTATTTGTGATTTACTTCATTTCGTAAAGATATTACATTTTAATATTGCCTTGTTTCATAGGCCTGAATTTTTTCGGTTCGAATCAAAGGGATAAAAAATCGTATTAAAATTTACGAATATTTTGTCCACTCTAAATAGGAGTGTTCTTTTTTCTCAGCTTTTCCTTGTCGGTGAAAGTAAAACTATTCAATCTGATAAACTAGGGCTGGGCAAATAAACCGAACCCGAAAATCCGAACCGAACCCGATCCGATAAAAATGAATCCGAACCGATCCAAACCCGATTTAAATACCGAATGGATCTTGATTTATGGTATTTCGGGTTATGGGTATTATCCGAACCGAACCCGAAATTAAATGGATATCCGATAGAACCCGAAATATTCAAATTTTTTAATAAGAACATGTACTGAACATGATCTTAATTCCTAATATATATCCACAATATTTTAAGATATTACTAAACATATAAAATAATTATCTATTACATGAAGTTTGATGGTTGAAGGTGGCAGTTGAAACTTGAAATTTTTAGATTATTTTTTTTTGTTATTATTGAATAATGTTTCTCATTTTTTAAGAACTTGATTTTCGTTTACGCTTTCATTTATTTAGTTTTCTTTCTATTAATAACTATGTTTACCGTTCAGTTGATTTTGAGTGATCAAGTTTGATGTTTCTTTCTTATTTTTAAATCAATTTTACTTATGTTTTGGTTACAAAATAGTTACACAATAGGTATTTTAAATCCGAAGAACCGACTTTACTTATCTTTTAGTTACAAAGTAGGTACAAATCAAGTATTTTTAAACCAAAGAACCGATTGGGATCCGAATCCGAAAGTATAACGGGTTGTACCGGTTCTTTAAAGATTTACTAACCCCGACCCGAACCCGATAGAACCCGAACCGATCCCGAACCGAACTTTCAAATAATCCGAATGGGGCTGATTTTACTAAACCCGAAGAACCGAGACCCGATTGGACAAAACCGAAACCCGAATGGGACCCCGAATGCCCATGCCTATGATAAACCAAACCAAATCAAAATAAAATAATAAGTGGTTTGGATTTAATAAATGATTAATTAAAAAGAGTAATATACTTATATGTAAACTATATAATATAATTAATCATATATACATAATTTATGTTCTTGTTAATTCTAGTAACTTAATACATTTTTAAGTTCAAAGTTATTTTCTTTCTTTTTATTAAATTAAATAAAACATAATTTTACTTTTTCTGTTGACAATACATGTACTAATATTTAGGTATTTAACAGTGTTATGGTATTATTAATTTTATTTTATTTACGAACATTGTTGTTATTAATTTAAAAAGTTTATTAACTATTTTAAATATTAAAATGAAACAGAAAAATTGTTATTTAATACTGAAATATATTTATGTTTTAATAATACAGAAATTTAACCAAAATCCGGATTGAAAGCCTTTAATATTTTGGTATAAAACGAAATAAACCAAAAAACCGACAATATATAAACCAAACCATTGTAAATATCTTATTAATATGATTGCTATTTTTTCTAAACTAAAAAACAAAAAAATTAAACCTAAACCGAACCGAAATTATATCTAATATTGACAAATAATGCAAATGTAGAATGGAGTTTTTTTCATCTTCATTATATTTTGATGTAAATATATATATACCTTAAGTTGATAACACACATAGAGAATGTATTTGAACAAAAATAAAATCTTATATAAAGAGAGAATTGTATATGCACTTTTGAGGTGTATGGTCTGGCGACTTGCCTGCATTCAAGCCGTACGTGTGTTGAGTGTTTCAAAACGCATAATCAACCTCATCCGCTTAACATTATTTTACCCAGTGACATGGATATTCGTTTACCTCATTATTTGTTCTTTTTTGTACGGCCAATATATTGTAAAGCATCTTCTAAAAATTCCAAATGATTAAAGAGTACACTAATTTTAATAAACTTCAACATATTAACGAAAAATAACTCTGTTTAAATAATTAGATAAAGTTATAACTACGGTGAGATTTTTGTGTGTAACATAAAAAGAACAAATAATAAGAGGTGAGTAAAAGATTGAGTTCGTTTCTGGTGGCTGAAAAACAATGGCGATGATGATTCTGCTGCAAGTCTCTCCTTCTTCCACACCGTCTTCCTTATGGCACATCACAAACCCTAAACCCCGATTCCTCTTTTCTTCAATCCAAGCTTCGTCGAATACGAAGAAATTCAGATGCAGAGCCGTGAGAGAGAAAGCAGAAGAGATCGAGGAGAAGAACACTTCTCCTTCTCCAGAGGAAGTTACCAAGAAATACGGACTCGAATTTGGTCTATGGAAGGTCTTTCTTTCTTATCTTCAATCTCTTCGTTTTTGCTTTCCTTCTTGGATCATATATGTTACAGTTTTTTGAATGAAACCACAGATATTGAGCTCAAAGGATGAAGAAACTGATGGAGAGAAGAAGAAGAAGTCGAAAACAGATGAAGCTAAGGAGTTGCTTGCTAAGTACGGTGGTGCTTACCTTGCAACATCCATTACCCTTTCCCTCATTTCCTTCTCTCTCTGCTACGCTCTCGTCACTTCTGGTGTTGATGTTCAAGCTCTCCTTCTCAAGGTTCTCCTTTATTTTATTATACTAACTTATGTTTTTCTTGTTCTTGGATTTGAGTAATAGCTGATGTTTTGATTTGTTTGAAGGTTGGGATTTCGACGAATGAGACGGGAGAGAAGGTAGGAGCCTTTGCTTTGGCTTACGCGGCGCATAAAGCTGCATCTCCGATTAGGTTTCCTCCTACGGTGGCTTTGACTCCTATTGTAGCTAATTGGATTGGGAAGAAAGTTGACAAGGAGAAGGATGAATAGTCTTTTCCTTTTGTTTATTTGGGGTTACTTAAATGTACATGTTAAATATATATATTACTGGATAATCATTACCTTATGTCTACAACGAGTTTTAGCATCTGGTGAGTATGAATCAAAGAGTGGCAGAATCTAAGTTGTGAGTTTGCTTTAACTTGTCTGTCTGAGAACTGGTTGGTTGCAGACATCTGATAAGAGGCAGTGGTATATGGTTAGAACTTAGAAGGATCTTTGTGTGTGCTTACATGAAAATGGTCACATTATTGAACACAAGCAACCATCTTCAACACCTAGTTTCAACGGATAATCTGTACATATTGGAAGTTAAATTAGAGATGACTAGTCCCGGTGAGTTGATGAGATAGTAGAATGTGGGGGTAGTCTAACTCTTTTAAGTCCATCATGTTCATGATCACCTTTTAACATTTCTGCATCCCCTTTTGTGTTTATTTCACAAATAGGTATTGAAACTGTGGAACATTAAAATGAAGCTAAAATGATGCAGATCCCTCCAATAAAACTATTGTGAAAACATATTTATATTCTTGATATGTTGCATATATCAATAACAATAACTCCTTGGCTCTCTCATGTGATGGATATTCATATCATTGTCAATTATAAAATTTGTTCAGACCTAGATTATCTACATGGTATGTAGTGATGTAATATGTCAACTATGCAGTGGCCATGGTTACATTATTAACCTACTACTGAATCAAGGATACATATTTCTAGTTGCGCCGAAATATATTTTTATGCGATGAATCGGTTATCCTAATTCATGCACAAACCCACCACTGGCAAGTGACTTAGTGCATCTTACACTAGTGCTGGTACATCACCACATGGGGTTCAATAATTTCATGGTATTGAAAGAAAACAACAGAGATTTCAAGGTCATTTACTAGAGCGGAGTTTAGAGCTGTTACACATATAACTGCGGAGCTGCAATGGATATGCTCACACTAGTAACAGAACTTGGAGTTTCATTTCGGATAATCCAACAATGTATTGTGGAAACTTTGGTTCAAAACACACACAAAAAAGTATTTATTAATACTTCACCGAAAACACATCACTGCGTACAACAAAACAGAGTTACTTGCGATCAAGAACCCAAACGGATGGCTCAAACACAGACCCAAACCATATCTTTCCATCTTCCCTCTCATAAGCCTCACTTATATATCTCATTGTCTTCCCTTTTTTGTCCTCAATTATCTCAAGAATCTCACCTGTCTCTCCGGAGATTTTCACCGCCATTCCATGCGGTCTGAATCCGTTCAGACAAGCAACCAACAACTCCAAATTCACTGTCTTTTCCACCAATTGCCCAAGCCATTTGTTCGCCATTACCAATCTCCCCAATGGAGATTTCTTGCTGTGTATGCCGATCCAAAAGTCTCCACTTGGTGACAGCCGGATGTTATCAGGGTAACCAGGAACCCTTGAGAAGATATCACGGGTCCCGGCTTTAGGACCCTTTATCCAATATCGATGGACCAGACCTGTGGGAGACTCGCAAGAGATTAGAAAAGACCTGTCTTTGTTTAGAGCCAAACCGTTATTACAACGAAGATTGTCCATAACAACTTTGGCCTCTTTCGTCTTCTTATCATATCTGATCACTCTTCCCGACCGCTCACCATTGGCAGCAACGAAAAACACCTCCCTTAAGACAACACAACACATAAGTCTTAGGCTATTATTTTTTCATAGGTAACATATTTATAAAGCTAAATGAAGTATAAATAATACCTGAAATGATACTTGTCACTACTATCATTGAAGTAGAAGACATCTTCCTCTTCATCAATATCCATTTGGTTCGCAAACATAACTTTGCGACCTTCAGCCTGGTCCACAACTAACTCGGCCAATCCTCCCTGAGGTCCAACCTTCATGACCCCTAGGTAACCATCGCATATGTATAGATCTCCTGTTTTCTTCTCAAAACTAAGTCCCAATGGTCTTCCACAAGCAGGCACTACTTTATGGCTTGAACAATTCTCTCTATACATTAAAAGGATTAAATATTTTTATATTAAAAAAACTATTTGATGTCAGAAAGTACACAATAATAATAATAAACACGAGTGGGTGTCTTAGGATATTGTCAGCTTTGGATTGGTTTCGGATATTCTTAGGATAATTGTCACCAAAAAATTACTGTACTTCTATGAATAATTTTGTTTTTGGTTTTGCGAATTCATCCTTCTCTATTAGTGGCAATACCTAAGTTACTAGCAACACCAGTATTATCAGCAAGTAACTCGAAATATAAAATTCTACCGGATTCACTGCAAAACTCATTCAACAGAACCAAAGCCCTAGTCATATAGAGAAAATAATGAATTAATTAGTTGATTATTATTTGGTTATATGCATATCTGGGTGTGTTCTAATGAACATTGTAAGAAAAATAGGAACCTGTGAGGAGATGTGTGGGCAAACTCAACCCAGCCGAGATCATCGCCACGCCATTTGAGAATACGACCGTCCACGACAGAAGCATAAGGACCTTCTCCTTGTGGGTCAAATTCGAGGCTCTCTGGTGCATTAACAGGAATTGGAATGGTCTTAGCCATTGGTAAATCGTTTTTGGTGCCCTCTATATTGTACGGCGCAAATAGAGTCTGATATGAAACCAAGGCCAAGATGGCAATGGTAACCGGAGCGGCAGCCCAAGTCGGAATTTTCTGACCAATCGGCATAGGCTCTTCTCAGAAGAAAAAAAATATAACTAAAAAGACCTCTGTAATAGCGCACTTAATAGACTACTAGTGAGAGTACACGCAGCAGGAGTATATAAGGTATACATGAACAAAAAAAATGATATAATAAAGAAAAATAGGAGAGACAATGAAAATAAGAAGGATTGTCCTTTTATAAAGAGATTCTGACACTTTTCTCAGGTATTAATTCGTCACTTTTTCACTTTTATTAGTTTATATATCTTTTAGATATTAAAATTAACTATTATCACCATATTAATAGTATAAAATTTCAAAGATACTTTAAGTTTCTATAGGCAAAGATTTGATGCCAAAAAAAAAAAGATAGGGGAAGATTTTGAAGAAACGTATGTACGACATACCCTTTTTTGAACCACAAACGTATGTACCACATACACCTAACAAAATCAAAGTGACGTTAATTACAACAATTGTATTTAGTGCTAAGCGGTAAGGCTACCCGTGCCATTTCGCTTCGAGTTTGATGTGACAACTATTTAGGCCTCGATTATTAGAATGATGAAAAAGTAATAGCATTATACTGTAGATGTTAATATGTTATAAAAAAATGTTTTTATTGAAGTTTTTGATAAATTGATTAGTAAAATAGTAACAGTATATAATTTTAAAATTATCATAAAAGTTAGTATATAATATATTTATTTTGAAATAATATATATTTATGATATATTTATTATTAAAAATAATAAATCTTATTAAATTATATAAATTAATTTTATTTTAAATGTGAAATAGTATTATTTAAAAATAAATAAATTTATTTAAAAATATAAATTTATTTGGATATAAACATAATTTGATACTATTAAATAAATAAGTAGATATAATTTATATATAAGCTATCATTATTTATTTATTGGTAGAATATTAAATAATTCATATATAATATTATCATAAATAATATGATATATAATTTATTTTTTAAAATATAGATATGTATATATTTATAATATATAAATATATATTATGTTATGTTTTGTTATTAAAAATATAGAATGATTTGTGTAATTATGTAAATTATATTATATATTTTAAGTGTGAAGTATTGTTAATTTAGAAAGGTCAAAAATGTTTAATTGCAACTTTTATATTTAAAGATTAAATTTTTATATCTTGACTATAACATAAGTATTATATCATTAAATAAAAATAAACTGATTATATAGTTTTTTGTTAATTTATATATTTTAATTATAAATATTCTACCAAAAGTTCAATATGTGAACACTGAACCAAGAATATTTAAAGAGCTTTAATATCTTGTAAATGCTTTTCTAAATACTTTTATTATAGATATTGATTAGATAATAATAAAAATATAAAATAGATTTTAGTACTCCACTACTCAAACCTTTATATAATAAAATGAGTAAATATTATGAAATCAATGATTCTCTTTTTATAAAGTATTTATAGAATTAAACAACTGGATTCTTACTGATTTGAACTTTTCAAATCGTATGAAAAAACATAAACTAAAATTTTATATTTTTAAATCTTTTATTAAATGTTAATGGCTTTAATCCTATATTAACAAAATATTTTTTTTAAACATGACATTTCATATAATGACATATTTGTTTACTATCAATGGATATTTTAGTGATTTAAATTTTCAACTAATTTTTGATCTAATGAAAACATTCCAACTAATTTTTTCTACTTTTAAATATTAAATTATTAAACATTTAATGTATTTAATTATTCATAAACAAAATTCTATTTTCCGTTAAATTAAGACGCAGCGTTTCATTCAGTAATATAAACTACATAAGATGCTTAAAACTTCCTTTATCAATGTGCAGAAAAAACAACCATTATTCATCTCACAAATTGGAAAAAGTTAGGATTTTCTATCTTTTAAAAATCATAAAAGGTGATATAAATAAAAACTCTGTTATTTTTAATCTTAATTATTTCTCTCAGATTTATTTTTCTAATAAATCTAAACTATTAAAGGGGAAATACAAAAAAGAAATAACCTTTACTTTTCTTTAAAAATTACCAAGTTATGCCACTAAGATAAAATCATTTTTTGCTTCTTTTCTGAACCACATATTATACCGTTACGTTTGGTTGATTATTATATTATGTAATTACAAAACCATTACTAACCCACATCCTACCACTTCGTTAAGCCATATCCGATCACATGCTAACCCATATCATTCTATACATTAACTAAAACAATTTATTCATTACTAAACTTATACATTACAAAACAATTAAACTACAATTGCTGCTTACACCTACACTCCATTGTTTATCATTTATAAAAAATCAAATTTAATATATGTCATTCATCGCATCAAAATTTCAGTTTTGTGTCTGCAGAAACAATAGTATTAGGTATATACAAATATATGTCATAGATTTTTTTTTTATTTTTTTTGGTCAATATATGTCATAGATTAAGATTATAAGTCACATCAGTATTATTTGAAATCATCTGATTCAACATAAAAATACCCAAACAATATGATTTTTTCACAATAAAATTTTAAAATTCAAACTCAAAACAAATCATTTATTGTTTTCCTAAAAGAATTACCTTACACAATCTTTTCCTATCTTTAAGCAATTCTTCTAACAAATACAAAATCTTTTTTTTTAATCTTGCAAATCACGTAAAATATTAAATATTAATCTAAACTATCTTACCTTCCACTATCCATTTCTATATTTAAGCATTCATCTTAACAAATACCATATCAGTTAGGCAAAAGAAAAAAAAATAAAACTTGATATATCTTTCCATTAGTAGAATAAGCTTAGTTATATAACTAAGTTTTTTTATATTTAAAGCTATATAAAAATATTAAGAAACTATATTCATCACAAAATTTAAATTTTCTTATTTAATAAAACTATTAAACCTCAACTACTTATCTAATATTATACATTTTATGTTTAGTTTGCCAAAACAAAGAAAAAAATACAATAAAGAAGAATAAAACTTCATAATTTATAAATGTATACTACACAAAATAAACAAGATACACCAAAATAAAAATTCAATAACAATAACATGAAAGTTTTTTAAACTATGAAAAATATATAATTACATCGAACATACATCTGCGCGGACGCGCGGATCAAAAACTAGTTCTAATTAAAGTTTCAGGTACAAGAGATGGATAAATAAATGAAGAAAAAATAGAAAAATATTTACTTAAAAATGTATAGAAAAGGTATTGATGTTTTTTTGAATATTTTTTTTCACTTCTCGGCGGTAAAAGTATTTGATAATCTTCCTACAAAAGATCTCAGCCATATAATAGATGCAGATAAGATCTTATCTGAAAATTAAAAGGATACGGTGCCACCGACAAATTCATTAAAGTCGACTCGCAATCAAGAAGGTTCAATATACCTCCACGTTACATCATTCTATACCACAAAAATGTGTCGAAGCCACACATTTCAATCTTCTTCTGACGAGTATCATACCTTTCTGACGTAGACGTTACACCAATTCTGTTACAGCTAAAATCAACTTAAAACTATAACTTTTTTTTCTTTTTCTTTTGTCGGCCAACATGAATCACATGCTCCACCATGAGTGGAATCAGGGCCGAGCCTGTAAAATTTGAGAATAATTTTACACTTTTTTATAATCAAGTTAAAAGATTTAAAATAATTTTCTTGTACATATCTTATTTTATATTATATTATATGATATTCATTTATAGCCCATTTAATATTTTAAGTATTATATATATTTTTTAAAAAGTTATGTTTTGTTATAAATTATATTAAAAACAAATAGTTTTTAAGTTAATATTTTTTTTTAAATCAGGCATCCTTTAACTGTTGAGATCCCATTCAAATGTTTCAAAAATAGATTATGGCCCGGCTCTCAATAGACACGAATGGTATCAAATTTTGAAGATACTAGCATCTCTCCCACGCAAGCGTTGAACCAGAATCATTTTTGTTTGCATATGTTTTTTCTATCGCTGGTTTAGTGAATTTTTCTAATAGCACTAAATAATAATAAAATAGAAAGAATGTACCTAGATGTAAATTGAAATATTGTATATATAACATGTTAAATATTATTTATATGAAAATAAGGTTTATAGGAATAATTAAGTTATAATATAGTTTTTGTGTGTAAAAATAGGTGTTTATCTTGTTTTTGTATTTTTTTTGCTGTAAATAATTTTTATATCAAAGTCCGAAGGTCAAAACTTGACATAGTTATTTATTTATAGTATTTATATTTGTATTAAATGATTTAGCAATTTAAAAATAACCTTAATTTAAGTTAATATTTGTTGTTTGGATTTCATTAGATAGATTTTTGTATATGGTTTTTTGTAAGTTTTGGTTTTCTTCATGAATGATGTGGCACTTTTACTTACGGTGTTGTCGACCGTAGAAATTCATTCGCTGGAGTCTAATAAACCATTAGAGTCGGTGGTGGGAGAAGGTTTTTATACCTGAGATCAAAACTAAAATATAATTCTTTATTTATAGTATTTATATTTGTACTAATTAATTTATCAATTTAAAAATAACATTAATTTAATTTAATATTTATTGTTAGGTTTCATTATATAGGTTTTTGTATATGTTTTTTTGTAAGTATGTGTTCTATTCATGAATAATGTGGTATTTTTATTTACGACGTCGTTGATTATAGGAATTCATTAGCCGAAGTCTGATAATCCATTAGAGTCGATTGTGAGAAATGCTTTCTATGAAATTATAGTAGATATTAAAAATATAAGAGAAATTACATATCCATTTAATAAATAACGAAAAATACTTAAATTTTGTTATTTGTTTTTAATTTTATTTCATATACATATTTTTTTGAAAATATATATTAGGAAATATGTCCTAATAGAAAATCTCCTATATATTAATCCTGAAGCATTAGCACATTTTTTTGTAGCCACGTGTCACAATGAAAATGATTTTCAAAACTCTTAGAGAAATATGTTGGTCCAACTAAACATATATTATATTTTTATCAAACTAACTATTATATTTAATTAGTACTGTACAAAAAAATATTTATTTTCTATAACTTTTCTTAAATAAAAGCTACGGAATTACCTAATATGATTAACATATGTATTCACATAATTAATGATTTTGAATAATAAAAATTTAATAACAATTTTTATACTCTTTACTTTTTATTTAATTTTATATTATTAAACAAACACATCAATCCCATAATAAAAAAATAGATTTTATTATAGGTTATATGTTGAAAATTTTAAAACGACCATAAATTATTAATAATGGTAAAAATCTCAAATTGAAAATTTTGTGATCAATAATAACGTTTTTAGTTGAGTC